ATAAATATCACCTTATAATTTAAAACTCTTCTTAAACAAACAAAATTTAGAAAAAGGGTTTCGCTATACATATTATCAATAGACCTTAAAGTTTGATGCTTTATGTATTAAAATCACCATTACAAAAATTGAGCTCTGGTCTTCAAAGAAAAATCACTGATTTTTCATGATTAGATAAATGTGGAATTATGATTAAAACTAAAGGTTTGAGCTTTGAATATTTTATACAGTGTTCTGAATAACAGAATTTAATATCACATTTTATTAACAAAATCTAATTTCTATCAATAAGTAGAAGAATTTACTTATTAAAGTATCTTCAATTAAATTTTAACGCAAAAGATTATATATTGTAAATAACTAATAAATGAGTACATCAACATCGACAAATTTCTTATTTTGGTAGATTCATTTACTTGTACATTCTTGAAATATAGGAAAACTCTGTTATTATTTTAAAATTATGTAAATTAAAATTGTTTTTTTTTGATCTAAAATTGTTTAGAATGATTTATTTAATAGTATTTTTAGGATTTTTTACTATCTGAATAAATATTAAGTCTGATTTTAAATAGAATAAATTATACAATTTTCCAAAAAGAATAAGAGAAAATTCAAAAGAATTTGATACTTTATAATTAAAAGTAACCCATCTTTGATAGTGTTTTAGAATTTTACAAATAACTTCATTTTTTCATTGAGTAAGATTAAAATATAAGCAAAGCCAATTTGTAAAGTACTAATTATCAATTATGCATTCTAATAAATATTTATTAAAATTATTTTTTATGAAATGATTGAAATAAAAATGTAAAAATGAGCTAGATATTGAATTTTGGTACGATTAATTATTAAAACATAAATTATAATAGTTTCAAATTAAATTTGGAATTGTAAATTATTAATTATTGTATGAAATCGCATAAATCCCAAATATTCCCAAGAATGATTTTATTTAATGGCTACTGTTAAAATTCAAATGATCTTCATATGATAGATGTGAAATTTTCTTTCAATAAGGAAACCTATTTGGTTATGAAATACAAAAGAACAATTGCATTAAAAATATCATTATTTCTCCATAATAAAAGGGATAAATTTGTTCAATATAAAGGAATCAATCTTGATTTAAAGAGGAAAATAATAGTGTTTTTTGAAATAAATAAACCTAATTTATAATTAAATAAATCCTTTAAAAATGAATATAGAGGTCTTGTTTGGATTAATAAAATATGATACATTTAATTGCCCTAAGTTATGAGAGATTAAGATTTAATATAGAAAATAACCAAATTTTGAATATCTTAAGTATGGAGCAAATCCAAATTAAGATAGCATTACATTTACCACTATTTAACTTTTCTCAAAAATAAATGGAACTTGGCTCTGCCTTTAGAAATCTTAATAGAAATACATAAATAAAAGCGGATGAAAGATTTGATGATGTTTGGCTTATTTGGATAATTGAAATTTTATTATAAAAATATTAATTATAATTCATTACCATCTGAAAATAATAAACCTAAGATATTATGGCTCATAGACAATAATAAATAATAAAATGGATTTCTAAGTTAACAGAAAAATTAGAGATAATACACTACTAGTGCCTCAAAGATAAAAATTACATGTGCATTTTAGAGGAAACTTTAGATTAAGGGAATTCTAATATCAAATTTTGAATTTCCTAATAGCATCAGAATATTTTGTATATATCCATTAAAATTTAGAATGAAAAAAATTACAATATGGATTATCATATTCAAATTATTAGGTTTCCGCTAAAATCTGCTGAATACATTTGACCAAGAATCAGAATGAAATAGAACTAAGAAAAATTTGTTCATTATGACCTTTTTGTTAATTATTTTTGAAAATTACCATTATTATAATTCCAAGGAATTAGACTGCTATCTGGTAATTATATAAAATAAATGACATTAGCAGTAATTTATTTCTCATCTGGTCCAAATGTCATAAGGTTATAATTATGCCTATTTATATATTTTTGAATTTTAATAACTTCTCAAATTACAAGTGATAAATTCTTATTTTTTATTAAATATGAATTAACGATTTTATTTACAAAATCTTTGTATAATAAATAAAATATTTAAAAAGAATTATCTTTTGATGAAACTAAAATAAGATCTTAAGTAGGAGAAACTTAACACTAATAATAAACTTCATCAGATAATAAATATCTTTGTGAAATTAATTTACATAAATGGGATCTTAACTCTAATGTTCCATCTCTCCAAAAATTATCAATTAATGTGACATTTAAAATTAAAGCATGGTATATATCAAAAAATCCTTTGATTAGACTTTTTTTTAATTTATTTCTTTTTCTTTAAAAATTCACAATAGCCTTTATTAGTAATAATAATGTATTAATCTGCCAAACAATATCCCTTTAAAATAATGGTAATTCCCTTTATATTCAGTGTATTTTGAAATCATGTTTAGATTTGCTGAATTAACTAAGTTTCAATAACCAATATTACTTTGAAAACACACAAAAAATCTTATTAAAGATCTTTTTTTAAAAAAGCGTTGATTTTCATTTATTCTAAAATTCATCTTGAAATAAATTCAAAATTTATCATATCATGAAGACTTATAATTCATTTCACCTTCTCCTATTATTTTCATAAAAGAAGATACTTGAGCCAAAAGAATTTTTCAAAATTTATCTGAATTTAATTCATTTGATGCTTTAGTTGTTTAAAAAAGAATCCTATTTAATATGTTTACACAAATGATTATAAAAGAGAACTTTTATATAATGTTATTATTATATATTCACAATAGCTTTCAAATTAATGTAAACAATATTTTGTAGATAAGTTAAGGATAATAATACAGATATATTAAAAGAATTGATCCTCAGAAGTCTAACAAAAGGAGTAACTATTCATACATATAAATAATTTTTTCAATCTATTTTATTGTATATTTATATTGTCATTAAACAATACAAAATGTAGATGGTATTTTGTTCCCTTGCTCTTATTTCGAAATATTTTGAGATATCTCATATTATTCTTTGATAGCGTTGAAGAGTATCTACCCTAAAACTACTTTTTTGCTAAATATTTCATTTATTATCATATCACTATTTGCTTCCAAATAATTTAAAATAAGCAATGCATCTTCAGTGCCTGCTGCCCAGTATTTATTATCTCTGAATTGTTTATCTTCTTCTTGCAACAA